AAAATCAGGGATCTGATCGGTCAAATCGTTGAGTCTGTGCAATGCACTCGTCGAATTGGGCCAACTCGTCGAGTTCTATGAACAAAATGACGATTTTGTTCCCTTATCCTTTGAACAATTCACAATTGCATCAAGTTCAATTGAAAAACATCCTAGGCTCTGATACCACTGATGGGTTTTGAGCATAACAACAAATCTTATGTGTTCATGCAACCTTATTGCTTTGGATCTAGGTTTTTCACTAGTTGAACATGCAAACATAAATACAAAAGCAAAACCCTAGAAGTACATAATTTGAAATTTGCACAATAATAGGGTTTAGATGTTTACCTTACTTGCTATATAGTAATAACAAGAACACCTTGAAGATCTTTGACTCTTAAAAGCAAGCGCCTCAAGTGTGACACCTCTAATAGCTTAGAAGCATAGGGCCAAAAATCTAAGGGATTAGATCCCTTTTATACATGAGGTGGCTTAGTACCAAAACTAGGGTTTGCAAGTGGAAACCCTAATTCCCTACTTAAGGTTAAAGCAGCCCATGGACACCCTAATAAGAAGCCTTTGGACGAAAACTTATAGGGCCACCCTACAATTTTCATCCACTCCTATCCAAAGGGGTCCGAGAATTTCACAACTATCAATGATTTGCCAAACAACCTTTGTACTTATAATCAATTCATTTAATCCCAAAATTAATTTCAAATTAATTTCTGATTAAATATTAATTAAACACCATGATTTCCAATGAATATATTATTTTCATGACATATTAATAAATCATTTATATGAACTTATTATTCCAAATAATAAATTCAACTTCTCTCCAAAAGTCATCGTGTTAAGTTGCAAGAGTGAAGGCAACCCAAAAGGACTTATGCTTCTATCAATTCAAGTATATACCAATTATAGTTATGGGCTTAGACACCTAATCCAACAATAATTAGGTCATAAACCATAATCGGGACTTTAATTTACTAACCCCAACCCCTAGGGTAAAAAACCATTTTACCATTCACGTTAATTGGCCCAATTAACCGTGACCCAAACCCCAAAACACCCGAAGCCCAAAATGACCCAAATCCATAAAGGCCTAAGGGCTAACAATGAGCCAAATCAATAAAACTTTTGGCCCAACAAGAGCCTAAAACATAAAGTTCAAAAGTGGCCCAAAACCAAAAGCTCAAAATGACCCCCTGTTGAGTACGCTTAGCGTATTACCTAGGTACACCCAACGTGTCGCTCTACGACCAAGGACTTATGGGGCCTCAATTGCGTATGCTGAGCGTATGCTCCTGCTTGCCAAAACTTCATTAAGCACTTAATGCTTTAAGTCCAAATGTCCTTTTTGTAGATCCAGACCTTAGGGAATGTCTTAAACGATAAAGTTACCAACTTGATGCCTTTGCTTGTCTCAAAGAGACTTAAACCCTAGATTTATCATTCTACTTTCACCAAATGAGCATTAACCTATGCATGTTTGATCTACAATCATCAAGATGCAAACTTTATGGACTAAGGGACTTAGAAACATCAAGATGTGCAACTCAAAACTTTTGGAGTGACACTTAACCCACTAGAACTCATTTATGGGACCAAAATATGTCCAAAACTCCACTAGACGTAGATCTAAGTATATAATAACCAACGTCATGACTTTATGCCTCTAAGCTAAGGAATGTGAGTAAACTCTGGATCTACAAGCTCCAACTTGATCAATGCTCATTCACCAAGCTTCTTCTTCTTCAAGATTCACCAAACACCCATCAAAACATACACACACATATCAAATCTTTCTAAAATGGGTTAGGGTTTCAAAATAAGGCTTAAAGGGGCAATGAAGGCTGGTACTGAGAGAACCTTGGGATATAAAGTTGTTTAAATAGGGTCCAAACACTAAAAATGAGGGTTTGACCCCTAGCCATGTACACACAATGTACTCACACGGCCTCCAAATTCCATTTAATGCCATAAGGGACCAATTTTGCAAACAATTTTCATTCCAAAGTTCAAAATATAAAATATCTTGAATCGAATGTTACATAATGGTTTAAAAAAAGAATGAGTATAGTATAAAAAAATATGCCGGATATTGACAAGATAACCACATGATTATGGAACTCAAATGGAGTATGATTTTTATTTTATTTTATTTATTTATTTATTTATTTATTTATTTATTTATTTTTGCATTTGTCAAAAGGATCACCAATTCCGAAAGAGTAAATTACACGAATGGTCCCTATGGTTTGGGGTAATTTGCACATTTGGTCCCTAACTTATTTTTTAAACTCGGAAGGTCCCTATTGTTTGTTTTTGTTGCGTGTTTGGTCCCTGTTTTACTTAAAAAGACTATTTTTTCATTGATTTTTTAATTTATTTAAAAAATTATCCCTCCAATCACACTTCCACCTTACCTTATCTTACCTTACCTATCCCATATTATTTAAATAAATTAAAAAATTCAAGGGTAAAAATAGTCTTTTTAGATAAGATGGGTATCAAACGGGTAACAAAAACAAAGTGTAGGACCTTCCGAGTTAAAAAAGTAAGTTAGAGACCAAACGTACAAATTACCCCAAACCATAATGACCATTTGTATAATTTACTTATTTCGAAATGAAGTCATTTTAGGTTGTAGATGTATATATTTTGCAGTCTATTCTCATTCACACCAAAGACATGCAAAAATTCTCTCATCCATTTTATCAATATATACTTATATTATGAGAAGTTTGTTTATTTATTTTTGTTAGATTTCAATAATAAAAAAAATATTTAGAAGTCCAAATATTTGTTTATGATTTGTTCTTCGAGTTTCATCATACCACATGTCATATGAAAAAGAAAACAAAGTCTAAAATATATGAACCATAACCTAATATATAGAATGCAAGGGTTTTCAATAGTCTTACTGACATTCAAAATAATAATAATAATTTAGTTTGAAATATGATTTTCTAACATAAGAATCATTTGCATAAATTTTTTTCAAGCATAAGAAATCTAGAAATAATCTTTTTCTTTGGAACAACAAATATAATATGGACAAAACTTCAAAAATGGTCTCTGTGGTTTTCGAAAATATCAAGTTTAATCCCAAAGTTCAAAAAAACTCACAGATGGTCTCTATTGTTTCAAAAAATTTAACATTTGGTCATTCCACCTAACTCCTTCAGCTTTCTACCGTTATGTGAGGGGCATTTTCATCATTTCAATACACAGGGACCATTTATGAGGGTTTCTCTATTTAAAAAAGAAAAAAGAAAAAAATATAATTAGTTAATTAAAGGGTCTCACCCTCTCTCTCTCTCTCTCTCTCACAAACACACACATACACACACACGATCTATAAAGACCTCCCTTACCGTCCTCCCATTTTATCCACCTTTAACAACCATTACTCCACCACAGCACCAACACTGCCACCACTTTCTTCCCCACTGGAAACCAACATCCCGACCCTACTGCTGCTGTCGGAGCTTTTTCTTCCACCATCTACAACCCTCCAGAGAAGGCTTCCATTCACCACCCTAGACCACCTCCCCTCGTCACTCTCCCCCATTTCTCACTTCATTGGTGACGATGACCACCAAAATCGATGACGACAGTCCCTCTGCATCCTCCTGTCATAACCCACCACCATTAAATGTCGTCGTCACTCCTGCTTCCCCATAGAACCTTGTCGAACACCACCCAATTTCTATTATCTTTCCATTTCTGCACCTGGTGCAACCTAGTCAACGGGTAGATCCAGGTTTTCCTTTGTTCTTTATTTTAATCGACAGTTTTCTTTCCTTAAAACTATTCCCACTAACCCTACCACCACCGCCAGTCTGTTTCCATGGATTTTTACAGAACGCGGGTTCACGCATCACGCTAAATTCAAATTGTTCATCAGAAACGGAGTTGCTGAAAGGTTCAAAAACAGGGGATGAAGACGAACAAGAATATGAGCTACTGGATGAAATTTGAGGGAAAAGAAAATCAGAAGTCTGGACACTGCGTGAATCATTATCGGGGAGACAAGAGTAAGTTTGAAGGGAGGATAAATCATCGATTAGAAGGTGGTGACGGATGAGGTCTAAAGCTGAAGATTGATCAGGGGACGCCATTGATGAGCAGAAGTGAAGAAGATTAAAGAGATGAGTTTATTGAATCGAAAGAATCCTTGAGTGGAAAAGATGGAGTGAAATGGTAGTGATATATATAATGTAAGAATGGACACTGGATAGACTTTGACTACTAAAGAAATAAGAGAAGATAGAGACATGTACATTGAGGAGGGAAAGAGGGGGTTCGTTGATGGTGAGAGGAAGCATCAGTTAGTTGATTTGTGACGATGACGCAAATTCAACAACTCATTATATTTAGAGAGAGAGAGAGAGAGAGAGAGAGAGAGGTGGGACATTTTAATATTAAATAATTATATTTATTTCTTTTTTTAAAAAAATAAGGTAAAACTTCATAAATGGTCCCTGTGGAAGTGAAATGACAGAATCGCCCTTCACTTAACGGCCAAACGTTAATGGAGTTAGCAAAAAGGACAAAATGTTAAAAGTTTTGAAACCACAGGGATTGAACTTAAGGACGAAACTTGTTATTTTCGAAAACCACAGGAACCATTTTTGAAGTTTTATCTATAATCTAATTTAATCGTAAACTACTCCTAAATACAACAATATCTCGGACAAAACTTGAACTCTCAATCTCAATAAAAATTGAAAACACCTAATATTGTTAGACTAAAACCTTTTAATAAAATAAAAACAATGAGTATTTCATTCTCTACGAAAGTTTCTCTTAAAAGTTGTTTAAGTTCCTTCTAATTTGAGTTAACACTTTTATATTTGGAATCAATAAAGTAGTTCTAATAAAGAAAATAATTCCCTCCTGTTTTTTGGATTTATCAAGAATAAATATATTTAAAAATAAGTACCATTTAATACATTTAATACAAGTACAGTCTTTTCATTATTAAATGAGATAACAAATGAATAAGTAAATAACAAAGTTTCATCATTGCAATTACTGTATATATAAAAGTATACGTATCCTCATACATACAGACATACAGTAAACCCGCTACACTCTACAGAGAGAGAAAAAGAGTATTTGAGAAGCTCATTTCTTCTCTGATTTTGATGAGAGAGAGAGAGAGAGAGAGAGCAGTACTGTACAAGTTTCACACAACCATAGAGAGGGAGAGTGGGGAGTTGAGAAAACACTTTCTGGATTTTTGAGGGTCATTCTCCTCTCGAAACATCATCGGTGTGAAGTTTTTTGAGGTGGGTTTCCCCCAAATTTGATTCAACTCATCGCTTTTCATCCATTTTTCCTCTGCATTTTTGGGTGTTTTACTTGCTTTTCTAGATTATCGCTATGTTTACTCTTTAAGTTGTTTCTCCTGTGTTCGTTCCACTAATCTGATCCTCATTCACCATCTTTCTTTGTATATGATTTATTTTAAGTCATAGATTTTTCAACTTCTGTAGCTTGATTGATGCATCCATGTATGTTTGATGATTGTGGCTCATTTGGGGAAGAACTGAAAAAGTTCTGAGGTTAATCTGTTCATGAAATGGTAATCTTTTGGGTTTTGAGTGATTCGTGCTTTTGATATTGCACGGATTTTTTGGATTTTAATCTTGTTTTTTGCGCATCTTTCGATTTTCATCACAGACAAAGCTTAGAAGTTAGAACCCCTCTTCTTGATGTTTGACTATTTTGACTATTTTCTTGACATTTTGATTTGCAGAACTTTGTGGGTCCTTTATCTGTTTGATCATCTATCTGGTTTTTCTTTACTGTATTTTGATCTGTAGTCTTTCTGTTCATAATCTGATGCTACTGTTTATGCATAATGCACATTGCCGGAACTGGATATCATTCAAATTCTTGAGGTATGATCAACCATGTCTGACTTTAATCAAGGGTTTTGTTCCTCTTCCAACAGTGTTCTTGAAACCTGCATTCGATTTGATTCTTTTAACCTGCTCGCTAGGACCCGATGATGATTAAAATTTCTAGATAAGGGTTCCGATGGTGATTCTCCATCGTTGCGCATTGATTCTCTTTTCTCGAACATTAAATCAACTTTTTTTTTTTCAACAGGGTGTGCGAACATGCTGAGGAAGAGAACCAGATCACACCAGAAAGATCAACAAAACATGGGTCAGACACATCATCTGATTCCCGATTCTTATTCTAACGAGTCTTGCTATACAAATTCCGATGCTTTCTTGAAACAAAAACACAAAACCAATTCCTTTTTCACTGTTCCTGGTTTATTCGTAGGACTAAACCCTAAAAACTCAGAATCTGATTCAGTTAGAAGCCCCACTTCCCCTTTGGATTTCAAAGTTTTTTCAAAACCAAACTTTGGGAATTTTCCAATCAGAGCATCCCCAAAACCAAATGAAACAACTCAAAAGAGTTGGAATTGTAACAAAGTAGGTTTAAGCATTATAGAATCTCTTGAAGATGAGACAAAACCCTCATCTGGGAAAATACTCCGATCATCAGCTAGTAAGAGCATTCTTTTTGCACCTCAAATGAAAATCTTCAACAACCCGAGTTTGAAAACCAACCCGTTTGACTCGCTATCCAACTCACTCCCTAAAAATTATGCCATTTTCCCTTCCACCCACATCAAAACCTCAAATTCTAAACTGATTTCAGAAGAATCATCTTCAAAGTTTTGGTCACATTCTTTGGATTCTTCCAATCTCGGGTCGAATTTAACGACCCGCCCGCCCAACTCAAATACCCGTTTGTCAAACACACAAAACCCCGGAAAAGATTTAGTGGGATCCCTTTCAGCAAGTGAGATTGAGCTCTCTGAGGATTATACATGTGTTAGAAAACATGGGCCTAACCCTAAAACAACTCATATTTTTGGTGACTGTATTTTAGAACGTCACGAAGACGAATTTGTCCCTAAATCTTCTGAAGAATCTGATTCTAAACCTTCTCAAGTCATGACTTCTTACCTCTCTGATGATTTCTTGAGCTTTTGTTACTCTTGCAAGAAGAAATTGGAAGGCGAAGATATCTACATGTACAGGTTCAGTCCCCGAACTTTCAATCATATGTTCATTTTTACATCAAAACTTGCTTTAAAGACTTATGTGGTCTATTCTTTTTGGTTGTTAGAGGTGAGAAAGCATTTTGCAGTTGGAATTGCAGATCAGAGGAGATTTTGATTGAGGAAGAGATGGAGAAGAAGAACAATGGTGAGGCGAGTTCATCTTTGCAAAGTGAGATTATGCAGAAAGAGGATAATTGTGAGGAAATTTTCGAGACCTCCATGTTCATTGCTGCATAAATATAATAATGGGGAAAAAAGAAGCTGGTATTTTTGCATTTTTGTTAATCGTCCAATTTACCACTATGCCCATGAACAATGAAACTTAATTCTATGAAGTGAAACCACACACACCACTATTGATTACCCGTTCTATAAGAGCTGTATGTCTTTGTTTTTTTCTTTAATGGCAGCCATGGATGATCTTGTTTTAAAAGTGTGTGGTTTTTCTTTATATGTGTTTCATGGATCATGGTTTTAGTGGGTGATTGGGATGCTACACCAGCTAGTTTTGTGTCTTTATTTCCTGTGTACTATTTTGACATTGATGAATATCTCTAAGGCTTCTTTTACTTGAGTCTTGGTATGAGAATGAAATGGGTAGTAGTTGTAGTACCTCCCTACCCCTACCCCACCCCACCCCCACCTTTCTTGGACTCATTGTAAGGAGTTGATGTATAAGCCTCCAAGATCAAGTCTTTGAATGAATATAAATGACCTTTTTACATTAGCTATCAAGTCTCCATCTTTAATATTAATATCATAATTTTATTGGTAGTTATATCATAACTCGGTGATTCTTGACATGGGTTTTGAAAATCTTGAGATGAAATTGCTTGGATCAACATTGTAATGAGCATTTACAAAAGGGTTTGAGTAGGGAGTTGTAATCCCAATGTGGATTATGATAGTGTAGGCAGATAACTCTTTTTTTAGAAAAGATTGTAACGAAATTGATTGATGGGTTTTATTGTACAATTCGTTGATGCATTGATTGTGATTTTACTTTTGTTCATCCATCATTGTCCCTTCCATGGAGGGATCAAATGAAATGAAGTTTGTTTGCTTTTACAAAGATGGCCCCTCACCCATGTGTGAATTATTAACATATCTTTCTTGTAAAGACTCGAACATCTTTTAACTTCATTGGCCCATATGCTTCATGATGCTGCCTGCCTCTTCTTAACAACCGAATCAAGAAACATATAAGTAGTCATTGCACAAACGTTTTGAATTTAAGAACCAATGGTATCTTGGATGCATGAAAACTAGAGGTACAAAGCTAATAATGCATGTAACAGAGACCCTACCACTTTGGATGGAGATGAAGATGGTGTTATACGCTATAAGTTAACAAACAGAAAAAGGACATGAGAAGAGACAAGGGCTAGACCCCATGCATTATGAAAGAAAGGCAAATCTTGAAAGTGGTATAGTGGGTTCGCTTTGGTTCAACCACTTTTGGTTAAATTTACAGAAATTGATCCCTAAGTATGGGGAAATTACCATTGAGTCCCAATATTCATATCAATTAGGAGAAAGAGAAGTGATGTTCTTGGTTGGTTTTCCCAACTAACTGAAAACCAAAATAGAAAAAAGTTGAGGCCCCAAATTAATGAGGGTAGATTAGGTTTTTCATCCATGTCTTTTATTGATAGTCCATATATGGTCATGAAAAGAATTTTCAACATTTTTCGTAACTAAGATAATATTTTTAAAATTTTTTATAATCTCTCTAGGTGGGCGATGTTCAAAGAAGGGCATTAATATTTAAAACATTATAAAAGGGCTTACTTTTAGTAAAGGGAGTCATGGGGTTTTTATGTTGTATATATACAATGGTGATCATATGAAAGTCGGAGTTTGCAAGAGGTTTTTATGTTGTATATAGTCCAACACTTTTCAAAGTTCAAAATTTGATGCCTAAAAAAAAAAAATCCATCACAATCATTGTCAAACCAACAAAAAAATAGTGGGTCATATATCGAAGGAGGTAACGGATGAGAGCGACATAATATATCGAAAAAATAAATCATCGTTGATATTAGTTCCATATACAAAGTTAGCATTATTGGCAAACATGTTGTGTAAAGTGCTAATTTGCTCGAACTTTTGTGGGTCCCAGAAGAATACATTTCCAAACTTCTGAGGGGACCTTGAACTATATTCATACAGATGATAGCATGCAATTTAAGCTCTGCTTCATCGTCATTTGTTGTTAGGTAATCTAAGTATCTATTATGGCATTCGAGTGGTTATTTGCACATACCGATAATTGTAATCACTAATCATTTGAATATTCGAACGTTTATGAACAACCAATCTTGCTTATTGCCAATAGAGTGGGCAAGACGTGACATGGTTTTTAACGAAGTTGGAGGAACGCGTTGGTGAGATGGAATATTTATACATCATGTCTAAAAGAGACGCTTCCATTGATCTTGCCATTAGAATGATCTTTCACATGTGTATCAGTCTCTTTGTTGGCATCTAGGAACGAACTTACGACTGAAGTTGACAAAAGTTCTATCACGCCAAATGGCTATTATGGAACACATGCATAACATACAAAGGATCAGACTTCGAGGTAGCTATTCTACATTCAACATTGCACTCTACCTCGAGCATGTCAACTAGAGTCTACAAAATGGTCAAAAGAACACTCCCACATATCGCATTTCAATTTCACGAATTCAAATTATTTAGAATCTATGAATGCATTGTGTGGGCGTATCCACCAAGGGTTTAGTTATGTCCTAACACCTACCTAAGTTCTCAATTTCATTTACAATGTATATAGTAAAAAAAACTAAAAACTATCTTAGAAAAATAGAAGATCTACCTTGAGTTTGTTTTTTTTTTTTTTTTTTTTTTAAATCTTTAAAAAAATCATTTTAAAAAGAGAAAAATATAAGTTATTATAGGTAATTTGTTATTTTAGATTATGAGATTGATAACAAAAAGTTAACCACTCTTAATCACCCTCTCAAAATAATAATAAATAAATAAGTTGTTCTAATAAAAAGAAGTCCACATGCCAAAAACTCTCACTCTCCTTTAGTCGTTTTATCAATGGACTAATAATCAACTAGTTTTTCGTTAAACCGTACGGGTTTTTCAGTTATATTTCAATCGGTTTTTAAAAATTTTAATCGGTGATGCTTGATTGTTTTTAACTGATTGAACCGGTTCAGTTCTTTTAAGGTACATGACCCGATCCGACCCGATCCTAAAAGTGTTGTTGATTTTTTTTATTGGCTTCACTTAATTTAGGAACCACGTGATTTTTTGTTCTAGATTCGCCACTGGGTATAAGGATCTATAGGGATAGATCAAAACGTCTAATACGGCTTAGTCAAAGTACATACTTGGATAAAATCTTGAAGAGGTTCAAGATGCAAGATTCCAAGAAAAGGTTTCTACCCCTGCAACATGACATAAAACTGCATAAAGATCAATGTCCTAGTATTGATGATGAACCAGATAGAATGAGTCGAGTCTCATATGCATCTGCTATAGGATCGATCATGTATTACATGATATGTACTAGACCTGATGTTTCATATGCTTTAAGCATGATGAGTCAATATTAGGATAAACTTGGTGATAGTCATTGGACAACAATAAAGAATATTCTTAAGTATCTAAGGAGAACAAGTTAGATCTTCTTAATCTATGGAGGTGCAGAAGAGTTGTGAGTAACTGGTTATACTGATGCAAGTTTCTAGACTGGCTGAGATGACTTGTGTTCACAGTCAGGATGGGTGTTCTTGATCAATGGATGATCGATTAATTGGAAAAGCTCCAAGTAGAAGATAGTTGCAGACTCTACGTGCGAGTCCGAGTATATAACAACTAGTGAAGTTGCAAAAGAGGCTACATGGTTGCAGAATTTCATAAGTGATATGTTGGGGATTTTAGTGTCATCGTGTCATTTTATGTAACTGGAACTAACATGTGAGCTAAGGGGTTTCATAGTTTGTACTCTAATATGTGTACGGGTTTGTGCGGAGTGCACACATGTATAAGATCGAATTAGAAGTCGGTTCGACGATAAGTCGGGGGTCCGGGGTTTCTATAGGGGTGGCGCCCCTTTGGCGGGGTCGAGGGGCAGCGCCCCTAGCGGGGTCCAAGGGGCAGAGCCCTTGGCTAGGGTCCCGCTGATTATGGTAAAACTAACGAAATTCGTTAGTTTTGGAAACCCTAAATCCTCATTAAAATTCGGATTTCCCTGGCTTGCTTCTAAAGGAACCCATGATGGCCCACCCTAAGAGAAACCTTAATCTCGTTTATTATATAAACAACTATTCTCTTTGAGAAGACAGATACGAAATTCTTAAGCTCTCGTTTTCATCAAACAAACACAAAATCTTTCTAGTAATTTGGCTTACGACATCTGTGCCTAAAATCTTAAGTGTCATCTTCGATTATCCTAGGTTCATTTTCTTGCAATCCAGAAATAAGGTAATGATATCAATTCGAAAAGTGTTCTCACGAGCCAAGTGGTAACCAAATCTCCACTACAAACCCTATATTTTTCAACATGATCTTACTGTCGTTCCAGGCATCAAGGATCACATTGAAATCTTCTATAATAACAAGGGTCCAGTTATGTTGGCTAAAGAACCTATAAGGATCATGGGAATTTGAAACATATAATAAGGAAATACCACTATGCGAGGAAGCGTGTTGAGGATGGTGACATCGTCATGAATAAAGTCGCCAGAAAACAATCCAACTAATCCTTTCATGAAGCCATTATCAAGACCCAAGCATGATGGTCATTCTAGGTCGATAGGCATGAGATATGCTAGTGATATGGTGTAATAGTTTAATTGTTAGTTTGATTATATTTTGAAACATATAACAATATGAATTATAACCAATTTGGTGTTTATTTTGTGGTGACTTAATAAAAATCTAGTGTTGCTAACATTTATGTGTTTCATTTTTGCACAGTCGGTCATACTCTTGGAAGAAAATAGTTATTTAAGACTTTCATGATGTTTAGTGGATTGTCCATAAAGATTGGTGTAACATCCTGATGATGAGGTATTTCCAATTTAAACCTAAGTATGAATATTATTTTCATTTTAGCCCTTGTGTATGAGAAGTGTTGCAAAACCGCCCATAGTGGAATTTTTGTAAATTTTGAGTATAGCTTGTTGGATTAGGTGTCTAAGCCCATAACTATAAATGGTATATACTTGACCCGATATTAGCATGATCCTTTTGGGTTGTCTTCACTATAGCAATTTGATAGGATGAATTATGGAGAAAGAGGTTAATTGTGATTTATTAATATATTATAAGAATAATATATTAATTGAGAAATCATATTATTTAATTAGTATTGATCAGAAACTAATTTGGAATTAATTTGGTGATCAAAAGAGACATATTAAATTATGGGGACTGATATTGCAATTATATAATAGTTGCAAGTTGGGCTTGTGGATCCCTAGGAAGGGGTGGACGAAATTCTATGTGTAGCCCACGTCGGAAGGATCTACTGGACTGCTTAAGGCTTAAGCAATCATATTAGGGTTTTACCTGAAACCCTGGCAGCTCGGCTATATAAGGAACCCTCTGGATGCCTGAAATCGGCCACTTGATCCTTAAAGGAAACCCTAGCCAATTTTTAGAGCCTCCTAACCTCTCTCATATTCTTCCAATTGCTACTTGGTGTTTGTGACTCACTAGAGGTGCAAAAATTGAGGCGCTAAGCTCTTAAAGGTCAAGATC